GACATGAATTGTGTCAAATACATTACAATTATATATTGCACATATCAATACAAATCCATTAAAGCAATTGGTGGTCCACATAAGACATACAGGAAGTCATTAAATCCTATCTGGAGTCATGTCCCGTGTATTAACATTTGGATTTGAAAACAGAGTAATCCTCTGGCCCCACTGAGACACTGTAATCTGAAAACGATTGATTTCTATTTATACGTACATTATAACGAGAGTCGCCTTTTTTTCTCAATTGGATGTAAGGATTGCATAACCACCAACATCACAGTTTTTCACCCTATTACAGAGGAGAGCAAAGACAGGAAAATAACACCCCCTACAGGAAAATTGCTTCTATTGCAAGGCTTTGTGAGGGACATTGGCTTGGCCGTGTACTCAGTTCCAATATGATGCCACAAGTCAGTGTCCAGTTCCAGTAAAGTTAATAAAGCTTAGGCCTAATAATATATAGCCGAATAATATATATGTCTATTAATTTTATGCATTTTTAACACTGCTTTATTAGACTGGCACTTCTTAGACACAACTTGTTTGCTTTTATCAACAAGTTTCTGTGATCCTGAATGTTACTGTGCTCACGGTTGTAGGTGCGAGTGACAGTTGTGTGAAGTAAAGTCATTACATTCATTTAGAAGGTGATTAAACTGACCGGAACTACCTGTGCATTCAACAGTTTGAATGTAAATCTTCCAGCCAATCAGAATAGACTATTCAAGCAGTGCATGCTATAAAGCAAATATAAAGGCACACCCCCTTCTACTTCAGTATTTTGATCAGGTCATAAATATTATCCTCTGGTTTCACCAACTTATATAACAGTCCAAACGCAATCAGTGGTGACATCGATTAACTGAATAGTCTCGTGAACTGATGCAATGTTTTACAGAAGAAAAATAGTACAAATAGTTTCTGGAATTAGAAGTAGTCTTTGTGACATAATGTGATGATTTTTTTTAGATATATTTTTTTTAATAAAATAACTAAATAGAGTGCTTTAACTGTGGTATTTGCAGTTCAGATTTGAACTATGTTTTATAACCTTCAACCTTAAACCACATTTAACTTTGGCCTTTCAGCATGCTAAATCTTTGAATCAAATTTGACCCAACATATTTGATTTCTAGGATTTAGCCTTCCACACACACTGTTCTCTTTGAGGGTATAATACAGCTAAAGGTCACTGCAAATAAGCCCCCGGGACATGATTTCCCCCTTGAACACTAATAATGGTAATACTGCAACATAGAGTTTGGCATAAGTGAAGATAATTCTTTTGAAACAGATGTTCGAAATGGACACATATTGGATCCAGTCACAATCTTAGATAAAAGTATTTATTTCAATTTGAAGTTGTTTGCCCAATGACTTTTCTTTTCACACAAATTGTTACTTAATGTTCAATTAAGATTTTTTCTTTTATTGTACTACTCTTTAGGATAAAAACAAACAAGCAAACAAAAACTCCAACAATTTCCTTCTTTGTATCTCAAATTTCTTGAAACTCAAATTTTTTTGTATCTGGTGTGCCGCTAAGCAAAAATTCAAGTATTTATTTTTTTTTCGACCTGGTGAGGATCAGCTGATTTTTGGAAAGTTCTGGTCTCTTTTACCACACTGAAAGAGGTGAAATTTTCCCACAATTGAGAATTCTGTATTTGCTTTCTGTACTTCATCACAGCGGAATCATGTGGGCCTCTAAACATACAGAAAACCATTGGTAACATAAAAGGAAGTTATCGCTGAACACTTCTTGTTTTACATGAAGTTCCTCTATTTTTATTTATATATTTGAATGAAGAAGAGACGCTGTTCTCTTCTGTCTTGTACACTATGGAGAATCATTTTATTTTCTACACGTTACACTATTCTGCTTCACTTTTTACCACATAATGAAGCGACACCATGGGCTAGGAGACAGTGTCAACAGGTACATTTATGATAGTTTATTTTGCATGATTTTCAACATTATGGACAAAAGTGAGCCATTAATTAATATACTGCTTATGTTGTTTTATATTATGTAGTTTAATATTATTTAGTTTTCAGTGTAACACTAATGTTTGGTTTAATAGTTTATTTTTATTTAATTATTATGTTTTTCAACTAGCTAATGGCTATGATTGTAGTGATATGGACCTACAAGTCATTCCAGATGAGATACCAAATTCTGTCCAAATTTTGAAATTTAGTTTCAACTATCTTCCTGCCCTATACAACTTCACTTTTCAGAGGCTAAAGAGCTTGAATTATTTAGACCTGACAAGGCGAGCAAAATGACTTCTATTTCAAGATGAATTGTGTAAAATGGTGCATCAGTGAATCTAATGTTTCTTCTTCTCACATCTAACTCTGTAACTCACAGATGTGGCATCACTTTCATGTATGAAGACATTTTTAAATATCAGCCTGACTTGGCGGTCCTTATCCTAATTGGAAACCCACAGAAAGAGCTTTTACTGGACCTCCAGCATTGAAATATCTAAGCCTTGCACAGTCAAAGATCCGAAGCCTATCAGACATCCCATCAGATAATCTTGCATATTTGGAGGTTCTGGACCTTGGGGGAAGTGAAATTCGCTCATTAGATGGACTAAGCAGTTTCCACTGTCAAAGCTTACGCAACCTGCAGTTGGATATGAACTCTATTGACAGGATACATGTGCCTGATTTAGCACCACTCCACAATGTGCACGGGATGAGCATCAGCTTTAAAGGAAATTATTTTGTCTATATAGAACCAGGTGCGTTTCAGTCACTGAACTTGAGTAGTCTTGATTTCAGTGGCTGCCTTAGCAAGATGAACTTCTCGTCCCTACTGAAAGGGCTTGAAGGCCTTAAATGCAACAGACTGAACCTGGGATTGTATGAAACCGATCCAAAAAGTGAGTGGGAATTCAAAGCAACTCAATATTAGCAATATATGCTTGGAGAGTCTTAGTATCCTGAAGGAGCTGGATCTCAGTCTCAGTTCAGTAAATCCCAGAGGACCTTGTTGTAATGACCAGCTGTTTGGTCTGAGTGAACTGAAGCTCCTCAATCTCAGCTATGGCTCACAGATGTTCTGGAGTTCACAGCCATTCAATGCAACTCCACAGTTGGAGCACTTAAGCCATTCATACTACACTCTGAATGACAGCTCACATCTAGCAATCTACAGAATCTCAAAACTCTAAATCGTTCCTGGTCAAATACCAGCCTGACAAATGTGTACATCTTTAAAGGCTTGAAGAACTTGCAACTCCTCAATTTGAAAGGGAATACCATTCAAAGAGGGGTTCTTACCCTGTCAGAGCTCTTTAAAGACGTCCCTCTTTTGGAAACCCTCATTTTATCTTCATGCAACATAACTGCTTTAGAAGAGAACTTGTTTAAAGGTCTCACACATCTCAGGCAAGTAGACTTGAGTGAAAGCAAACTGGTCAAACTGAGCACCTCTGGATTTTACTCCCTGCATTTTCTCCAACTTAACTTGGCCAGTAATGCCATTGTGACAGTGGATGTTGGAAGTGTTATGGATCTGGGAAATAAGAGTACTGTTGATCTGAGCTACAATCCTCTGGTATGCAACTGTAGCAACTTTGAGTTCATCAACTGGGCTACAAAAAATCTAATCAAAGTAAAACACTTAATGGAGACCGTTTGTAATGCAACAGGAACAAGGATTATTGATGCCGAACTGCAGTGTGAATTTCCTGTAGGTGTACTTGCATTTGTTATAATTCTAGTTGCAATTATAATTACATTTGCCATTTTCTGCCTTGCCAGGAGAATTAGAAAATATTCAAGATATTCACAACGTTAAATTAAGAGTTTAGTTGGTCTCCTTCCAAATGCAGACCACATAAACCTATAACATGAATATCTGCTTTAAGTTGGAGATCAAAATTGGCAAGTATATGCTGAAAAACTTGAAAAGAAATTAATTATCAAAATTGTCAGTGTTAAAAAAGGCTTTTTTTTTTTTTTTAAATGACTAAAACCTTAGTTTTCAAAAAACAGATGTGGGTCTGTATGAAGTAAAAAGACAATAAAATGCCATAAAAGGTCATTTTTGACATGCTTTATTTTCAGTATTTTGCAACTTTAGAAGTATAAATATTTGTATAGTAGACAACATCTATGACATCCATAGAGCTTTCTGTGGGTGATGTACAAAACTCAAAACCACATCTCTTATTGCACAGATTCTAAAAGACAATGATAAGCAGAGTCATCTACATAAACACTCTTTTCACACATAGAGAGAGGAAAGAAAAATCCAGAAAAACAAGCAAGAACATACTGAACTGGAAAGACAACAATTAAGCTACCACACCAACGGTCTTCAACAGCAAGTGTCCGCTAAGAGGAACTCACACACACATCGATCACAGCATAACTGCGTGTGACGTAGCACATTGATTTGGCAAATAACACAAAATGTACAAAATATACATCCATGAAGTTGTTGTAAACAAACATTTAATGTGCTTCTTTAAGGATTCAAACATTAACTGTCAGAAAAGGGAAGGAAAAGAAACACCAACAACATAAATGTCTGGGGTTACTATTTATATTTTGAGAACAGACAATGCATATGTCCTATAAAACATTCACATTTTATCATTAAGGTTTGTATTATGTTCAATTAGAATCTCTCCCCCAAATTCTCAATAAGCATTGTGTTTTTAATCTTAAGGTGCCTTGTATCTCTTTAGACCTCCTAAACTACATTTGTAAAGTCTATAAGGAACAGAAACTGCAGTCTGTTAATAAGCTTTAAATCTCTACAATCTTATATATATATA